CTGCGAGGCCAGGCCTGGCCGCAGCTCTGCGGGTCTTGCCTGGTAACGCCCGAGGAAACCACTCAGCCAGGCCTGGGGAGAGCGGGATCTGCGGGCCGTGGCTCAGGTTGTTCCCCAACAAAGTTATTTTGTTGAAACTAATCTCTCCCTGTGTCCCCGTGCCAAGTTCCCTTCGCTTTTGGGGTAGATACCGAGGTCCTGTGTAACTTCCACGAAGATGTCCCTCCCCACACACACACTTCTGCTAGCTCACAGACTGGGAGGACTCTCCTCTCTTACCTGGTGGTTTGACCGCATACTTCTATGGTGTCATAATCAGGAGGTTATTTGTCTGAGTGGCATTAAAAAAAAAGTATCTTTTTATTTAACAGTGAACACCAGGCTTGAATATGTATTCAGTTGCTGTTTATCTCTTAAAGCCTGAGGAGGAACATATATTTGAGTATTTTATCTGTGACCTCTATAAACTGCAGCTTTTTTGGTATGCAGAATCATTTTTGTTGATGACTGTTTTCTGAATTACCAGTTGTGCGTTGTTGAATCCTATTCTATGGCTTCTAGTCAGCCCGTGGGGAATTCTCTTGCTCGGTACCTGGACTTTGCATTGTTGCCAGTCCCTGCAGTGATCTGGAGGTGGCATAGGATGGCTCCTGGTGTCTTCATGGGCTGTGTTCTTCTTTAGGTTTCAGAGGAGTGTGTTGGATCTCTCTTTACAGTGGAGATTTGCCAGACTGCCCAACAATGCCAAGCTGGAGATGGTGCCAGTCTCTAATAGAGTGGGAACTGGAAACACGGTATGTTCATTTCACAACGTGACCCAATTCGTTCAGTTATCAGTCGTGCTGGATATGATCCCATCAGATCTAATGAGCAAGAGTATGGTTAGGCTTGGACAGTGCTTGAGTGGAAGGCCACCCAAAGACTGGTTGAAGTGTGGTGGAAAATGGTAATTTAGTAGCTCGAAGTCTTTGCTTGCAGTCTCTGATGGCGGAGTTCCAGCTGTGTGGTGGAGGACAGGGTGATCTTTTGGGGAGCTGAAAAACTAGTAGTCATGAATGTATAAGAAGTTGAACATCACTGATGACTTTGCTCAGCAGTTGAGCTACTAACTCAGTTCCCTAATTTCTGTTTGAGTTGCTGTTTTCTGCATCGGGATTTTGACTAAAATCTCAAATTCTTACAGGATTCTCTTTTGCTTCTTTCCCAGCATTGCTGTTCACAGTGTGTTCACATAGCTTTAGAATTTTTTGTGACATGTGCTGTGTTTAGCAGTTGCCGAATGTCCCTATTTTGTATAATTTTTGCAAAGGGCTTACTGATGCCATGTTCTGTGGGAATTACTGTCACATTTAGGAGATTTTAAAATCTTTTATGCATGTCGTTATAACAGCTGGAGGCATAATTTTAAAAATGATGCATAGGTTTTAATGAGTGTAAACATTTGATGTGGTAAAAATGATGTATGATCTTATTTAAGTAGCCTGGGAATGAAAATTTGGCTATCACAGTCATCTCTCTTCTTACTGACTTCCTCATATGGAGTTTCTCATTGTTTGTGAAAGTTTCAGGTCTGTTAGTGCTAATCTCTTAATGTCTGTCCGCCAAATTGAATTAGTGGTATTTTGTTATAGGCAGTTGCCTTAGCTGTCCCAAAGATAAACTGATACATACATTCAAAAGTGAGCTTTGTAGTGTTGAGAAGGTTTTGAAATCTCTGCTCTAGTTCGCTCTGGGCATGCAGCATCGTTTTGGGGGTCACTGATGTCCCTGTCTTTCTCTGTAAAACCTCCATGTGCTTTGTTTTGGCACTAATGTTTTCTTTCTGACTTTGTGGTGGAAAGAAGCTTGTGCTCCAAATGACGTATTTGGTTAAAAAAATACCACAAGCTGGTAGCTTCTGCTTAAAATTTTCAATTTAAAAAAGTTGTGATGGCATGGAGTTCATCTTCCGGAGGAAAGTGTTTCTACTAAAATGGTACAGTGATGACACTATCTGACATTTGCATCCAGTTTGGGAGGTATTGTACTGAAGGAAAACAGTGCTTCCCCCTGCTCAAGAAGATATGTGTAGCATATCGGAAAGGGTGAGAAAGACTGTGTACTGTAGGAGAGGGGTTATAGCACGGAATCGCTACTTTAGATCACGAAAGAGAAGAGCTAATGAAAGTTTAAGTTGTTACTGTTTAGTTGTATTTCAACAGAAGGATCTACAGAAGTGAGGCTTCCCTTGGAGTGCTCGTTGCTGTTTTATGGAGTTGAGAAGTTACAGCAAATATGCTTGCGAAGGGTGCAGTCTAAACGGAGTTGCTGCCCCATGAACTAAGAACACAGATTTCACTTGGAAGAATTTTACAGACAGTATAAGAAAATACTTTGTACAAAATACAATTGACCAAAAGAATTACCTGCCACAGGGAACTAGTGTCAAATACTGTAGGAAGTTTAAAACAGCTGGATAACTCTGTGACCAGAACTGACACTGGCATTATGCCCTAATGTAGTAGCCGTTGAGATGCAGACTCAATTGTGCAGGCCGGCTGCAGTAATGTTGGGATGAATTTGCTTCTGTGCCTTTTGTTATTGAATCTTTTATTGAGATAATGTGCACGGAACTAGGTGTGCTTTCCTGTGCTGCATTGGCAGCAGTTAGCTATAGAGACAGAATAGAGGTTTTGATAAATCACGAATTTGTTCGGCAAATCTGATATTTTTAAAATAGAATGCTTTTGGATTTGCCTTTGCATGTGAAAATTATTGATTCCTATAAGACAGTTCTTTAGTGAAAAATTGAACAAATTCCCCTTGTGAGGGCAGGTGATCTAGGGGTACCATCAGTACAGTTCTAGTGTTAAAGTTGTTAGCCTTTTGTTTATATGTTTGTAAACTTAGAAGATAATTGGCACTGGTGTCTCTATTATATAGAGCCTGGGATTTTTAAAAAGACTTTTCTAATTCACCGAATATGACATTTGTGACGTGCTTAGCTTTGAACTGTTGCCCAAAAACTGATGCAACTGGTAGTCTGAATTTTTGTGCTGGATTCTTATAGAATGGTGAGGTCAGCTGTCATCACTCTGCTGTAGCTGAGTCTCCAGCATAGGAGAAACCAGGAAGTTGTGTTAGTGGTGGGATGAAACGACGTAGTTCTGTTGGCTAGTTGTTGATGATGCCACTGTTTCCTTTATGTAGAAAAATTCCTGTCTGCAGCAGATCACAATTTGCAGTCCTGCAAGGACTGGTAGGAGCCGAGGCAGATGACAAACACCTTCCTCCATGGAAATCACAGTAGAGTGCCGGAGTGTGTGGTGTTTATTTTTTCCTATCTCTCTATGCCCTTCCATGCTCGCACGCATGCTCCCACAGAGAGAGAGAGGATGCACTGAGATTGTTGGTAGGGACACATGAAAACACAGAATGAAAGAAAGCTTCTGTTGATGTCCTAGGCTTATGTTCTTCTCAGACTTTTGAATAAGGCCAATTTCTGTGGACTTCAGAAAACCATAGCTGACTAGAGATGCTACATGCTCTCTAATAGGGACTTTTTTTTTTAACTTTCCTTTAGACAGGTGAGCTAATTGGGAAAACTTAAGTGTTACACGTTTTGAAAAAGAAGGCTGAATGTTCTCTAAAAGGTAAAGATAACACCTGCCATTCTCCATCTCTTGGTCAGCTGCTGGATTTTTCCCTTGGGACCATCAGGAGACTGACATTCTTCAGGACTGTCCTCTGTGTTCATTTTAGAAATGCCTTGTATTTCTTTTTTTTTTTTTTTTCTTGGTAGCAATTCTCTGAGGAATATGTAGGATCTGCATGAGCACCTGCTAATGAACATTGAATGTTCACATTCCAGGTTGGAGAAGACCTGTTAGAATAGGCAGCTAGCTGTCCTTTGCCTTTTTCTGCAGGTGTTTAAGAACTTGATAACTGAACATCCAGAATTATCTTTGAGATTTTTGATTAATTCACTCTTAAATTGTATGTCAACATTTTCTGTTTAGGAAGCATTAGTGAGTTGCAAGTTACACATGTAGTCTCTTTGGACTGATAATAGTTGGTTAGGTCTTCAATAACTCAAAGGTAGATTTGAACCGTGTTCATTGTTTCTCTGTGTGGATGAACAAGTATACTGTTTGTTCTGTCTCAGGGAGGTTGTTCTGCAAATCAGTGCTTAAGTCAACAGAGCTCTGGGCTGGTGTTTTAGTTCATGCAGCTGCATCAATCCTGTCTGGGTTATTGGAATTCATTTTATATAGCTGCGAAGACCCTTGCTGTAAAGTTTCATCTAGTGTAAAACAGAACATCTCAATTGCTCATGATGACACATTATTTGGGATGCTTGCATTGGCCTTTGTCTGAATATGTTTCAGTTCTGGATATGGCAGGGAAGAGGGGCCTAAGAAAGCTGGTTGGTATTCAGGGATCGCCTCCTCCACGCTTGAGAGTGGTCCATTCCAACAAACAGGGAGTCAGGCAGAAATGCCAGGAGGCCTGCATGGATGAACAAGGAGCTCCTGGCGAAACTCAAATACAAAAAGGAAGCATACAGAGAGTGAAAGCAAGGATAGGTAGCCTGGGAGGAAGAGAGAGACCTTGTCCGAGCATCCAGGGATGAAGCTAGGAAAGCTTAAGCCCAACTGGAAATGAATCTGGCCAGGGACATCAAAGACAACAAGAAGGGCTTCTTCAAGTACGTAGGTGACAAAAGGAAGGCTAGGGAAAATGTGGACCCATTGCTCAACAAGGCAGGGGACCTGGTTACGTAGGACATGGAGAAGACTGAATGTCTTCTTTGCCTCAGTCTTTACTAGGAAAACCGGCCTTCAGGAATCCCAGCTCCCAGAGACTAGGGGGAAAGGCTGGAGCAAGGGAGATGTAACCTTGGTGGAAGAGGATCTGGTCCGGGAATACTTGAGCTAACTGAACACACATAAGTCCGTGGGCCCCGATGGGATGCATCCATGAATGATGAGGGAGCTGGCAGATGTCTCTGCAAGGCTGTGATAGTCTTTGATCGATCATGGTGATCGAGAGGAGTGCCTGAAGACTGGAGGAAAGCAAATGTCACTCCTGTCTTCAAGAAGGGCAAGGAGGAGGACACAGGGCACTACAGGTGAGCCAGCCTCACCTCGATCCCTGGGAAGGTAATGGAGCAGCTCATCCTGCAAACCATTTCCAGGCATGTGAATGACAGGAAGATCATCAGGAGTAGCCAGCATGGATTCAACAAGGGGAAGTCATGCTTGACCAACTTGATAAGCTTCTGTGGTAAAATGACCGGCCTGGTAGGTGACGGGAGAGCAGTGGATATTGTCTACCTGGACTTCAGTAAGGTCTTTGACACTGTCTCTCATAAGAGCCTCATATATAATACTCATATTCATAGCAGAATAGAACTATTCTAAATATTAACTTCTGAAATAATAATAATAATTTGAATACTCCTCTGCATTTTTAACTAATGTAATCCTTTGCAGGAAGTGTTTAGAAGGAAGTCATGTTTTTTTTGGATAGCAGGTTCTAGAGATCATTGAAATATTGAAAAAAGTTTTCATTCAATTTTCAGATTAATTCAGTGTATTTTTCCTATAGGTTCGGATCGCATTACAGTTAGATGATGGCTCCCGTTTACAAGACACCTTTCTCTGTCAACAGACTTTGTGGGAACTTCTCACCCATTTTGCAAAGATCAGGTGAGCAACGCAGTGAGAAAATACTTGTTTGGCTGGACGTCTGCATGACTAGCTAGTTGTTGTTATGGTGATCCAGCTAAATTCTGCGGATTTGTAGAATTTGCATTTATTTGACTGTGGTTTTTCCTTTACAACACAGATGTTTGCCTTTTCCTTGCTCTTTCAGATTTGACACTCCATAGTTTCATTATTATTTTTTAATCCTGGAGTAGCACTCCTGGTTCAGGGCATAAACTGGTAACAAACATCTAAGGGTAGGGAGAAACTATAACTGGATATATTGCCGCACCTGCAATTTACACAAACTTTTTTGAAGTCGAGTTGCTGCCAGAGTCGAGATGGTAGCCTAGATTATCTTGATCACCAGTATTTCTGTGCTGTAGTTCCATGTGGTGGAGGAGGTTGTTTGTTAAGCAGGTTGCTATTGCTTTTGAGGCTTGCTGTTGTGCAAGTTCTTCAAGGAAATCTGGAGCTCTCAGCAGGCTAATGTGGAATCTTCAAAAGACTGATTAGCACCTGTTTAAATGGAAGAATTTCTGGTCCTACATTTATTGAATATATACATGGGTTAGAAATCTTATTAGAGTCCAGTCTACATTCAGTGCTTTCTTTTGACTTTAGTTTTGACTTAATACTGCATTGTCTTGAAATGTCAAGCTAATAAACTTTTCTCCAAAGACAGTTCTTTTATTTTTGTCAATGAAGCCTTGAAGCCGTGACAGCCATTCTATTCTGAATAGAATTTCCAAATTTAATTTTTTTCTGTTGTAGTTGGCTTTACCTTTCTCTTGATAAAATGTTTTCTTCAGACCCTGTATTTCTAGCTTGCTTTTCCTCTTACATTCCTTATCTTCTGCTAGTTGCTCTGTTGCATTTGAATCTCTTGCTTATCTCTACAGATGCTGTGCTATGGTATTGTGCAAATTGGAACTATTTTTGTTAAATTTCTCAAAACAATTAAATACTCATCTAAAGAGACAGTAGCTTTCTGTGTCAAAACTTTTAAAGTCTCCCAAGGCTGTGCTACTAGAAAAGCTATGAAATGAGTAGTCAGTAGTAACGGTGATGGTGCGGTAGCATTCAGATAAGCCCAACCTTTCAGGGTACAGTTACAGGATGCAAAATGAATGGATTGTCACCTGTTAGCTGAGCCATAGTAGTAAGACTGGTTACGGGTATGCGTTAGTACTAGACTAACATGTAGTAGTGTAAATTAACTGAAGTTTCAAGTTGCTTGTTCTACACTGCAATTGAAATAGCCTAAGCAGTGTGGTTCTGGGGTTGAACCGGCTGACATTATGTCATTAAGTCAGGGCTGCACAGTTGAATTGTGTGACTGGAGTTGCTCTGGAGCTGTTTGCAAGGTAAGGAACTAATTCTTCCAGCCTCCCAATGATGTGCTGTTAGTTTTCTGCTGGCTTAGCTTCCTGACTGGCCCATAACAAGATCAAAGGAGTGACTAGTGTTGGCCCAAGGGAGGGAGTTTGGATCGGGGGCATCTTCTGTGTAGCAGTAGAGGACTGAACAGTTACTGCTCACTTCCTGCCCTCCTGTCTGACTCCCCTCATACTGTTTGTGCAGCTTTATGGGGAATTAGCTTAGGTGTCTGATTCAGCTGAAAAATAGTATTTTCCCCACATTATCTTTCAGGTAGATAAGTTTCCTAACCCAGTTAAGGGTTGTCTCTCATAGGCAGCTATGACAAGAAGTGTAGCATGTCTGGAAACAAGGATCCAAAAGGAGGAAGCAGCAGATGGGTAGGAGTGGTGTGTGTCAGTTTTTCTACTCAACGTTTTGTATCATCAAACCACAGTTCGAGGAAATGCTTCAGGTAGCCTAGTGACTCTGAAGTGATATAAATGACTCTTACTTACCATTCTCTTTTCATCTTTAATGGTCAGGGACCAAGTCTATGCTGTGGCATTTACTCTTAAGTCAAAAGGGACAGTCTTCATGTAAATGCTAGAGAGAAAAGAATTACTTTCTTTTGATCGAGGAAGGAGGTAGGCAAGAAAAGCCAGGTATCATTTTCTTGGATGTTTTAAGGCCCCTCTCGTACCTTACCACATACTTTGTGCCCTCTGGGAGGAGAAGAGTGCCTGTTGCAGTTTGGGAACTGGTAGACTGATGAGGGTGGTAATTATGGACAGTGACAAATAGCCTTTGTGTGGCTTTCTTGCACATTAGTTGGTTATTTCTTTGGTTTAAATTTTGAGCTTTTTATATAATTTTGCTCCTTTGGAGTGGTTTTATTTGTTACAGGTTATTGTAATACTAATATTTAATGTACATGCTGCTCTTTTTAAGATTCTAACTGCTACAGTGTGCTAAGCATTATTAACTTCAGTTCATAAGACACAGCTGTTCTTTTCTGCCCTCTGGAAGCTGAGCTCAGATGTTTGGATGGACTCTGCAAACTTTTGATTAAGTTCAACAAGCAGCAGAGATGCTGTGTGTGACTTAATCACAAAACAAGCTGGATCTATAGCCATCCATACAGATTTCATGGGCTGTGCTGCTTTTCAGTGTGTATTGACTCAGCTGACTAACTAGTCAGCTAGTTGTTGACTTTTGCTGAATCCTTCCCTTGACTTTCCAACTGGAGATGTTTTCCTGGAATGCTCAGCTGCTCTAAGTGCGTGAGGGGAAGTATTCTAAATCCACTGGAATTTCCCCCGGGTTTCCAGCGTCCATGTTGGCTAATTGGGTCTGAAGAAGGTCTGGAAGCTATTGTAAGGCTGCTCCTCCTCTCAGCGTGCGGCGGTCCTTGCACAAGATGTTTACAGGCCCTGTCAGATCACTACATGAAGGAATCTAATCTGCTTGCCGTTCCCCTTCTGAGGAACAGCACATCAAAGAAATGACAGTGTGTTTGATGTGTGTGCTTGCCTCAGTGAATGCATGTAATGGATTAACAGCAGCTGGAGGAGGAGCCTGCTGGCTTCCAAGAGTTATGCAAAAATAAGTCTCTGGGGGATCTTTCCTTGGAGTCTGTTCTGCAGAGACTGGTTGAGGGCACAAGCGTTGTATACCCTTTTAGCGCTAGGCCTGGGAGAACTGTTGCTTTTCTATCTCCCACTCTTGCCTGTCTGGCAGCTTCAGCAGCTTTGTAGACTGTTTTACATAGAAGTGATTGCAGTCTGGATGCTTGAAGACAGTTTTGACAATGACTGTGACTCTTTGCTACTTCTGTGGTGTCACTCATTAAGTTCAGATATTTTCCATACGTTTTTAGAAGGCTCTTCAATCCAAAGAGTTGCTTGGATTGAAGTGGAAGGCAGTTTTGGAAAGGTGAATGAAACTAGGTTTTGTAAGTCGAATTGGTTTGCTCTCTTACGGGTATGTGTGGTGAGGACTTCCACCCGAGACATTGTGCCTTGGCTTCTCTCCTCCTACACAGTGATCACCCACCTTTCCTGGTAGACAGGCAACTTGAGGTTCAAGCTTTTATTCCTCTTGGCTGTTTTGGCTGCCTTTTTATGTGATTCTGTACTGTTTCCTCCGTGTCTCAGCAGTCCTTTATCTTTTGTGCACTTTATCGAGGATTCCTGTAGGGATACAGCTGATCCTGATTGGAAGCAAAATCCATTGAAAATAAGGTAGGGATGACTAGCTCTCCTGGGTTGTCTGGAAAAGTTGGAGCACACATAGCCTGCTATGGTGTGCTAAAGGTAGTCTCTTAGGTGCTGTTTTGTTTCAATCTTCCAATCAAGAGACAAGATTTTTTTCTGCCGTTCCTCATCAAGCACTGGCCTTTGGAACTTCCTCAGTTACTGCTGCAAAAGGAGCGAGGGAGGTCGGAACCTGGGTCTTGAATCACAAGATTGTGCTCATTCTAAATTAGGAACTTAACCTCTTGATTCCTGCAGAGCACTGTGTATGGCTTTCTGTCCTTGACAGAGAATAACTAATGGCAGAACCGCAAATGGTGACAGACCTATTCTAGTGTTGTTTTGCTTGTTCATTTTGAGTTAGAAAGTTAACTGTGTTTCATAATCTGAAGCTTAAATGTAAATAGTTTGGATGCTCTGGGTGTGCCTGTCACTTTCTGCACAACAGGATTTGGTGCGGTGGCTGGGAGAATGGTACCTCAGGACTGTAAGCCCCTTGTGACCTCTTGCAGCTGGTCTGAAGCAGTTCTCAGCCCCTGACTTCTCTAAGCCAGACCAGACCCTCAAGACTGGTTTTACAGGTTACTCTGTTTGAATTCGCTAACTCTAGTGAGTGGAGCTTCTCAGTTTCATTGTGACTCACCTTGTCCCATATCACCATGCTGTGGCATGCTTTATTTAGAAGGGCTTAAGTTTTAACATTTAGATCAAGACGGGAGATAGACTGCTACAATTAAACCAAACAGAAGCCTCAATTCTGGTCTGTGCTTAACAGGTTTGCTCCCTGACATCCTCCAGCTAGAACTCCTTGATGTGCTCTTGCTCTTGAGGATTACTCAAGGATTGAGTATCATAATTTTCCAGCTGTCTCTCTCAATCCTGAGTGACTTCTGGTTCCAGCTATTTCACTTACATTTCATTGAAGCTGAGTTTTGAGTCTAAATGTAAATGTCCTTGATGAAATTTCCCAGAACTTAATGGCTATTTCCCTTCATTTTCTATTCTGTAGGCTGGTTGACTCCTTCCCCATTCAGTTTGTTTTGTCACTTTGTGCTGGGCTAAATAGATTCATGTTCAAATACCGTGCAAGACATTGATTGTATATATATTCTTCTGAGCTGCTCATCTGTGACGTGTTTTGGACATAATAGAGAGACTACATAAGATAATACTAGCAAAGCTATTGTTGTTAAGTAACTTTGAACGTTTTGATGATACTTAAGATTATTGGAACTGCTGCGTTGAAAGCAGTAAGACGCATTTGGGTATGCAGACTCTCGTCTTCTGCTGTGCAAGCAGATTGCTAAAGTGCTAAGGGTTATTTTCTTTCCTTCTTACCTGAACAGAAAATGTTATTCCTGGCTTAACGTGGTCTTTCCATAATGGTTGGGTTTATTGCATGCCTATTTGTGGGCTTACCAGCTATGAAGTAGGAGCCTTTCTAACAGTGGTAATCAGTGTGGTCGCAGTACAGGCATGCTATGTAATGCACATAGTCACTTCAGAATTAGACGCTCGGTTGACTGAATGGATTTTGAATATTACTTAAGGGATCCTTTTCGTACATAAACTCTGGAGATAACTTTGTGTATCCTAAAATACGTATGTTTAAATTACATGATGCTGAAGGCGGAATGTCTTAAGTAGTGGAACTCTGTTCATTAAACTCCTTTCCAGGAAAAGTCAGAATAAATCCAGCCTTGACCACTGACATCCTTTTCTTAGAGTTCTCATTGTGTTGATGGGGCAACTTTCTCACCTTTTGTTTTGTAGTTTCCCATGCTAAGTTAGGCTGAAACTTTTGAATCTAAAACTTCTGAAAAAAATCCTTGTGAGAATTCAGCCAGCTATCTTTCCATACCACTGCTGTCTCAGCATGAGCAGTGTTCTCATGGTCACCTTTTGCCATTGGTGTGCTTGCAGGAGAGAAGCAAACTATTCTTCTCCTTAATTTCATGTTTTACCACATCCTCAGCTGATTTCAGCATGAGTTTCACTTTTGCTGAAGGGGAGACCAACATGAGAGAGAGTTTCTTCTACTGTTGAATCTAATTCTCTCACTGATTTCAGTGCTTCAGTGTAACGTACTGGTTAATTCTTTAAGGCTTTTTACTTTTCTACAGGCATCTGTGGTTTCCTTGCTAAAAGTGTTAGCCCGTTTTCTTTTTTCCATTAAGAACACCCTGTTGTAGGGTTTTCCACATGTGCTCCCTTTTGAAATTGCATGATTTCGGATGGATGAGAACTGAGACTTGCTGTCACAGGGAGTGATTGTCTTTTCCCTGTCCATCTTCTGTGTTTGATCAAGTGAATATGTAATAAAGCTTCTCTTCTACTTGAATGCCTCAGAATTGCTTATCTAGAGGAAAATAGGAAGAGTAGCATTTTGTTGAGAGCAGCATCTTACTGTTTTTTCCCCTTCTCTATGCTAAGAGTTCTTCACTCATGTCTTCCTCTGCAGATGGCCTGTCAGCAGTTTGCATCATTGCTAATATGTGTCCTACCTCACTGAAATGCTTAAATGCTGGTTATATTCACTTTGTCTACTGCGGCAGCCTTTCATTTGGCTTCGTTTTGTGCCTCATCTCCAGAATCCGCAAGCTTCTGCTGTTTCTTTTTTTCTTTTTTTGTAACTGTCTGATACTAAGACAGGCAAATTCTTTGTCCTCAGATTATTTGCTTTAGAGCAGTATTTTGTTCTGTTTGTTGCTATGCATACATGAAAAGAAACTGACCTGTCCCCAAGGAAAGTACAGTCTAAACTGTAATAAACTACTTAACTTAGATAAGGGATTAGAAAGAGCAAGTATTATTAAGTCATGTTCCAGATCGGGTACTGAGGCACATGAAGAATTATGTGCTCAAATTTATCTAGTAAGATCGACTAATTTGAGAATTAACTTCAATTATTTCTCCTTTGTTTTTAAACTTTCCAGGCTGTGTTTAAGGAACAGTGAATGCATTGGAGCAAATTCCTTACCTAATGTCTAATACTGACTCTGTGAACTGTGTAATGCGTGTTGCTGGAGGACATGGAAGAGAGTGTTGCTAGCTAATTTCACTTCTTACTGTTGCTCTACATTGGTTTTGGAGGGGATAGACTGTTCTACAGATGGTTCAGTATTTTGCTCTTTATTGCAGGGAGTTTATGGAACAGCATGGTGAATTCTCTCCAGTCTGTATTTACATGCGAGATGAGGTAAGTCAGCAAAGTTGTCTTAACTGTCTCTTGTCCTTCTGTCCCTAAAAAATAAGAAAAACTCAGGTCTGCTTTCCAACCTGGAAAGTGTTTCTTTTGAACTTTCTTGAGAGGGGAAGTAGAAAAATGTTGGTCTTTTCAAAGCATGACGTGTCTGTGTGGAAAAAAGCTCTCTTGGAACGTAACCCTGGGCCGTTCAGACCTCTGAGCCCATAAAATGAGCTCAATGACCTGTTTGTGTTTTTCTTTCCAACTTCTTTTAAAGCTCAAGTCAAAACAGTGGTTTAATTTTAATAAATATTTGCTTTTCTCTGTGTTTTGATCTTTTGCTATTAATGTTTTGTTTAATATTTTGTATGTGCGTATTACAGAATTTGTTCTCCCTAGCTGTCCCCTCCACTTCCCACTGACCTCTGTGGACCGATCATCTTTATTCTGGAAGAGGTCATTACAAGCAGATGGGAGGTGTATGTAATGAAATCGGCTATCTTTCATCTCTGAGATGTTGCCTGTGATTTGACTTCTGACATGACAATAATGCTTTGCTGAGGTTGGGTCAGATTTGGATGTGTATATGGGATGGAAATATATGTAGGTCATCTTCTCTTGAGATCATTTAATAAGCAGTGAATTTGGTAAAGCAGTGCAGGTGAATACAGATGGATTCAGGTCTCATTTCCAACTGCAGAAAGAGTGCGTTTTGAGCTGTTTCTGGTGCTGTGTGGTGTTTGCTTTGATACAGGCTTCCTTCTAGAAAGAGCACTTTAAATGTTCTCCCAGGTAGGCAGTTGCCATAATTACTTTCCTCTGTTTTTGTTGCAGATATCAGGAAAAGATGCCCTAGAGAAGACAACACTGAAGTCACTTGGCCTGACTGGAGGCAGTGCCATCATCAGGTTGGGAGGAGCAAAACTTGAGTTTTTCATTTTTTCTTTCCACTCTGGTGGTGAATTTGTTTTGTTTCAAATAAAAAAAAAAAAAAAGCACGAAAAAAGTTCACAAAGACAAACATCGCGCCACTCAGTAATTATTGCATTTGCCTGTTTATCTGAAACTGCTGCCCAGATGTGCGTCCCACAGCTGCAGATGCTGGCACTGACCAGTCATGTGCAGATTAAAGGGGCTTGTTTGCTTTTTTTTTTTTTTTTTTTTTTTTTTTTTTCCCTGTGAGTGAAACAGACAATTCAAAGTTAAAAGTCTCTCTCAGAGGACAATCATCTACCACTTCATTCTTCCCTGCTTTGGATTTCGGGCATTAAACTCCCAATCCCTGCAGTGCCTCCTGCTGACTGACTGGGAGGGTGAGGTGGGGGACAATGGCAGCCTTTCTGTGATCTTCTAGCCAGTTCTTTGCAGTATATACAGAAGGCAGGAGTGATTAGAAGCTGTGCTTTACAACTGACTGCTGTTTTTTCCTGGAAGGCAGTTTTTTTCCTGTGGAGTGGGCAGTTCCTGTTCTGTTTTTTTTGCACAAACCCCTGACCCCCCACCCCTAACTTCAGAGCAACTGGAGCTTGTTCTTTGTGGGTGTCTGGAAGAAGCAGATCATTAAATTAGGGGTATATTTGAGTCTAGCTGTCTTCTTTGTGTCATGGTCACATCGAGAATGGGGAGGGCAGTACTGTTAGGATAAATGATTTTGTTTTTATTCCTTTTGGTGTCTTCTTTAAGAGTTGTCATGAAGAAATGCAGTTCATCTGGTCGGGAGGAAGCTGTCAATGCCACGGTGCAGTGTAATGAGCTGACAGTGAGGCCAGGCTCTATTGAAGGAGCAGTGGATGTGCCCTTACCTCAAGCAAACACATTCCCAAAGGACTTGGACCACAGGGATGTGGCCATGTCTTTAAACAGCTGCACAGACAAGCAAGACTCGATTAGAGAATCTCATGCCAGCTTGGAGGAGCCGTGGCCTTCCTCAGAGCCCGAGTCTGCCCCATTTGTCCCTTTTTTTGGAGATGGACAACGTCTGGGGGACTCTTCTGTAGCTGTATCATCTCTTGGGTTAGATACACCATCTTCAAAGCTGCCAACAACTTTTTCCAGCCCTGGAGGCCCTTCTAAGCCAAAGAAGTCTAAGAACAGCCAAGAACTGCAAAAGGAGCAAGAACAGGTAAGGGAAAATTTGTTTGCAGTGAGGGCTTTTTTTATCCTGCCTTGCCTGAGGCTGAGCTCCTACAAGGAAAAAGATGTTTCCATATTTAAGACTTTTTTCCCCATAGTAGAGGGTTAGGTGCCTTGGTGACATACAGTTCTGCCAAGAGTTCAGTAAGGAAGTGTTGCATTTTGGACAGTTTCCTATAGGAAATATGAAGGATGGGAATTTAAGAATTTTGCTGTCCAGAGGCAAGCAAAGCTTGGAACCTTGAGGTATCCTTGATGAATGGTTCTAATGAAGGCAACACAAGTGCATTAAAAGCACAGTCCAGAAGAGCCTCAAATTCCATGCAAATTTCATTAACAAATGTCCACTTTGTCACCTGAGCCCTGAGTATTTGTCCTTCTTTTAAAAATTGCTGTCTGCTGTGTAGCTTTGCTAAAGATGAGCAGGAACAGAGTTTGGTCAGACTTGTGTTTTATAATGCCCCGAAGGTGCTTGCTGCTTGTTGTGACTGGCTGACCTTCTGTGTGATCTGGGAGATACAAGCTTGGTAGAGTTTTACATATGGAAAGGGATAACTTTTCTAGCTTGTTGTAGGGTTATCCTAGGAGCAGAAGCGGTCTTAATAGGTTTGTTGCAACTCGATCCTGTGACTTCCAAGATCTGAGAAGACGGTCAGTTTCTAACTCTTAGGTTGTAAGGTGTGCTCAAATCCTTGTCTGAGCCTTTCTGTGGAACGTGGAACTCCATAGTAAAGCTATCGTAAAAGCAGTATCCCATGCTGGTTGTTGTTAACATCTGCTTCCTCAGAGTTCCTTCTGCCTCTGGTCACTCTGACTTACAGTTTAACTCTTTCTGAGACATGCGCGGTAGAATGTAAGGGGTAAGAATATAGGAAAGGATATATGAAAGGAATTTTTCAGCTACAGTTGTGTCTTTCTTGCCAAGAGTTTGATATTTGAAAAAACCAGGTCTGGACCTCTTCCTTTCAGTCTAGTCCCATCCCTTCTGTGAGTTTTAATTTTCTTAGTATTGCAGATGAAGCAGAAACCTTCCATCCTTTTCCTTCTCTATTTCTGCTTGCATATAAAAGTGTCTTCTGTCTTGCTCTAAAATATCCTGCTTCTTAAAGTAAAGCCCGCTTCTCTCTAACCCTTTTCCCAGAAAGACAAATTACACGTCTCTCATTGTTGTTGGTGTCTCTGAAGTAAAACTCTATTGGTTAAAATTAAAAATGCTTTAGCCCATGTAGAGATACCAGAACTGATGGCTCAAGAGTGCTGTGATGCCATCACAGGATGGCCTTTGAATGGTGTTAAGGGTGCTTTCCATAGAGCAGCTGTATGGAATTGAATGCCTTCAGCAAGGTTGGATATGTCTGGCAAGTAGTGTAAAATTAAGTACAGGAGGCATTAAATTCATAACTGCACATTATTGAGCATTGGGAGTTTCACATCCTGTATTCTCTGTGAGTGGCTCTTTCCCTTGCCCCTTCACGGCACACATCATCACTAGGGCTGGCTTTAGTGTTCAGCGATCCCCTTCGTTGTTTCCCACTCTTCAGTACCTCCTAGAGTTGGAGTTTTGTGTTTATCTCTGGTTCTGATCCAGCCATGGGATTAAACAATGGAAAGCCGTAAGTAGAAAGGAAGGGTGCCTGATGAGATTCAAAGGGAGCTTGATCCAGGGGGAATTTAGCAAGACTACGTGTATGTTCTCAAGTTGATGTAGAGATTCTACCTTTGTTGACTTCTTTGTGGTTGCAGTCCATTCTAGATGACTTTCTGAATTGTTCAGGAGCAGAAGCCAGACCCTGGAAGGACTCTGGACCAGTTACAAATGTAGCAGAAAGAGGCCTTGCCAACCCAGTGGTGAATATTTCAGTATATTAGAAACATGTTTGGGTCCTTCTAATCAGTGTTATTTAACGTTTTGGAACAGACCCTGAGCATGGAGAACTAAACAGTAGGCTGGGTGATTTGTCCAGTCTAATGTGTTGCTTACTTCAATCACACCCTCACCTATGAGGGGTTTGGAAAAGAAGGAGTTTCAGTTGTGTCTGAAAAGGAAGGAAGGAAGAAGTGTGAGGGTTTGTGGTGGTATTCTTCACCAGTCCTGTTGTCCGCACTATTCCGTACTCTGGCCGGAGAGACAGAACTCATTCTGTCATTTTACTGGCTACAGCTTAATGTGAAGTCGTGTTGTTGGACGCAGAGCTGAACAGCGGTGGCCTAAGGACTCTCATGATCCGGCATCTTTCTCAGAATTGCAGTCCAGTTCAAACCACTCAGAGGCACTTCTGGAGCCAGACTCCCTTCCAGTTTGAAAGCAGCTTTGGAAGCAGCTGCAGATTCTGTTGGGGGGGTTCTGCCCTTGTGTTAAACAGCATGTGATTTTGACTGCTGCTTTCAAGCCCTTTGATCTCTGGTGCTTTTGCTGCTGATTGATTACATTTTGTTCCCTCCTCCATTCCTGCCATCCTCCACTCTCCTTGCTCTCAGCTGCAACAGCAGAGCAGGGCTAGCCACATGGCATCTGCTTTTTGTCCCTTTTCAGTCCTGAGGAAAAAAACCAAAACAAAACAAATTATTTTTAAACATCAAAGGTCCATTTTTGTAAAAGAATCTTCCCATTAATGCTTTGCCTGTGTGTGGTTTTTGAAGCTGAAGAGAGAGGCTGGATAAAATCTGTGCCGGCGTCCCTTCGTTTCTTGGGCTAAAGATGGTTTACAGACAGCTGCATGCTGACTTTGATGTCAGAACATTAATTATTAGAAGGTAACTTTACACCAGATTCCCCATGAGATTGGAGCTTCCTGAGGTGGTGGGGAGGAGGTGGGTCTCCAGGGAGAGCTTGCTGCTGTGGAAAGCACAATAGCCACTACTTCACTTAAAATGAAGTGAGTTTTCCTCAGCTTACCTGCTTACTTAGGTGCGGGGGTGGTGACCATAGAGTGAACTGCATTCTTCCTGACACCTGGCTTTATCACGTAGGTGCAGTTACGTAGGCTGCCTGGCAGACACTGCTGTGAATAGATGGCTTCAGCCTACTGGTGAAAAGTGCCTAACATCTCAGCTTTGGTAGTAGAGGTAGAGACTTTGAAGAATGAAGGTGACAAACCGTAATGCAGCATCTTTGGCTCCTGAAAGGTATTGCTGACAGAAATATGACAGCAAAATGCACGGCTTGCTTTCCTCCAGAGTTACGTAACGGAAGGTAGAAGCTGCCATATGGTGGCCATTTATTGTTACAGGAGACGGTTACCTTTTGTCACGGTTGCAGAAAACACGAGATGTGTAGTGGACTGGGAAGCGAGTTGGTGTACCTGGTAGCCTCCTTTTTGTAAATCGTCCTGGGAAGGTAGTTTTTGGATTCTGTCTGATCTTTAGAATTGTTGGTGACACATTAAAATAAGGCTTTGTTGAGAGTACTCAGATTTAGAGGTGTCTAATTGGAATACTGAAGTGAGCAAATGGTAACGGATGAAGAAGGAGGAACAGGATGATGGCTGGACTCTGGGGAAAGAGAGAATTGGTAGAGCAACAGGAATGGATGCTTCTTTCTCTCTGAAGAGTGTTTCCTATGTCTGTAAGGAGGCGAGATGTATGGTTGTTTCCACGGGGTGTTAAATACATGGTAGAAGAGATACTATGATATTATTATGATGTGGCAGTCTTTGCATCCCCAGTGGCAAAATGATGATGTCTTTTGGTTGCTAAGCAGTACTTAGTAGACGCCTTGTGCTGCCCTTCTCTATCAGGCCCTCTTGTGCAATTCTGGAATTGAGTTGCAGAAACTCTGAGTCAAACCACCTGAATTATGTCACAAAAACTCGCTCATTACAGCTCTCTCCAGAGGTCTCACTCTGTTATTGAGGGTTAGCTGAAAATTTAGTATTACGGAATTCTTACTCTAATTGTGTATCTTTGCAGTCTTGTTAGACATGCACAAATCTGCTCCTTCTGTACAGAAGAGTATGTTTCTTCATATTAAGTAGTAGCTAAGTAATGTATCTTGGTTTGGAAGTTAAGATACTCAGAAATCAGTGTTGGCTGGGGAAACAGATAAACTCACAGACTTAGGAGCTAAAAGGTAACTGTGTGTCTGTGTGGGGCCAGTACAGGTATCCTGCAAAGAATTAAATGGGGACATCTTGGCTGGATGCAGGGTGGAGGTCCAGAACAGGACATTCATGTCTGGGAAGCAGTGGGTTTCGTATCACAGCATGTAGGTAGTTCTGGTAGGCTGGGGAATGGCTCTAGAGGGGAAGTTCCTGACTGCCCACTTGCAGTACCTTGTTGGCACTGGAGACCCATTTGTTTGAATGAAGACGTCTGCAAAGCAGCGCTTGGATGACAGTTGTAATGTACAGTTGTCTGGAGCAGTGAACACGCAGTGAGGAAGAGAGGTGAACACTCAGGACTGGGATATATGTCTGCCTTCTGCTGTCTCATGATTTCTGATGTCTTGGCTGAAGTCTTTAGCTACCACCATGGTTTGGGCAGTGACTGGCGCTTTCCCTGTGGAATCCTAACCCAGTTAGGATTAGGTAAAGTGCTTGCTAGAGCTGATACTAAATGGTAAGTTTACGATTTGCTAATGCAGACATTGGAATTCTCTCCATCGTATCCCAGCACCCTTCACAGCATGACTATGTCTGCTCAGTCTTTTGTTTTCTGGGTTTTTTTAGAAGGAGAAGTCTGTTTTCAGTATGTGTGTGTTTAGAATGAAATGAAACTTAACGCCTGTTTGAGGAGATTGAAGTATACCTGATTATCGGGGAGGCCTGATTAATTCTCTGGCCTCTGACATCGACCTGCCCTTACCATAGGACCGTTGTGCAGCAGGCCTTTCCCAGAGGGTGGCTCTGCACGCTCGGGATCGCTCCTGCAGTGCTGGGCATTCCTCCCCCTGAGCCCGGGAAAGCTGCAATCAGGCTCCTTCACCCGCTAGTTAGAGCTGACCCTGCTCAACTTTCTAAAAGTAGCCAAGGGTCCCACCCACACAACCTC